TCTTTTTCACTTTGATTTTTATTTATTTAAATTTTTTTTTTTTTAGGTTGAGAGCTAAATCTGGGTCTCAAGCTGCTCTGTTTTAAATGGTTCAATCATACGCATTTGGGATCTGGTTTCTGCAGCAGTGTAATTCATCAAAGAAACTGCATGTGGCAGCCACCTAGCTCGTAGTCATCTTGACATTTTAAACAGAAGAACAAAACTGATTCAAAGTGCTTGTCTTTTCTACATATGACAGGCACTACTATGCTGTTCTGATAGATAGCAGCACAAAGCCCTTTGAGAGCTCATGTAAAGGTTAGATGTCCTGTAACAACGCTCTTTTGTCAGCCTCTGCACTTTCTTTTGACATTACTTGAAAATGCATGTTTTCCTCTATATGAAACAGAATTAAAGCCACTGTAGATTTTTTGGAGTTCTGACTTTAATCTCAGAATTCTGAGTTAAAAAAACTGAATTCTGAGAATTTTTTTTTTTTTTTTTTTTTTTTTTTTTTTTTGGGCTTTCACACTTTGTACCTTTGTGACCATATCCCAACGATAAGTTTAAGCAGAAGCTGAATAAAAAGACTGCTGCTTTTGTGACATGTTAATCTACTGGAGTGATTTTTTTTTGTTTGTTTGTTTGTTTTCTCACTTTTATTTACTTACATAATTTCTTTAAGTACATATGTGAATGCAGCCTAAAGTTTCATTTGAACAGCCGGGTCACCTTCGCTCATACATTTTTGCTGGCGACCCCTTGTCTGTATATACTGTATGTGAATATTTAGGGATGGGGAGGGTAGTTTTGTTTGAAAATGTGTTAAAAATACATTTTATAAATGTGTATTGATATTGTGTGGAAGAAAGTCTGTGTAATTTGGTTATCTCCACGAAGTGACACAAATTTAAGTTGGACTTTTCAGCAAATCTGCTTATTTGGTGTCTTGTAGAGAGTGAGATGAAAACATTGATACCACTCATTATCTGCTAAATATTGAGTTACCGGCAAATAGCATGGCTCCATTTCTTTAACACAACCCACATCCAGATCTTAGATATTGACACAATATATGTTTGTTCAGATTCAAGTTTAAAAATCAGCTGTAGCATCATATTATATGATACAAAGATATGAGAGAACTATTTTTATCATCTAACTGATGGTAAGAAAGTGAATAAGTGCATCTTCTAGTATACAGTATCAGACTGTTTAAGTGTCTCTGTCCTGGTGTTAAAGCCACTGAAAACTTGGTTTCTCTAACATTAAATACTAAGCAACAGTCAAAGTTAAGGATAATCACCTTTATTGGCCAAGTATATTACACACAAGGAATTTGTTTCCGGTACAGAACCGAGGCAGCCATCTTTGGAATAGATCTGAAATACTGGGGTGTTTTGATATGCTCACTTTCTCTTCGCCCTACATAGAAGTTTCACTTGCTTGGAACTGTTTATTGCATATGTGACCATGAAAACTTTGGAGTCCAGCTTTTCAGGATATTTTGGGCTTTCATAGCTAAGGTACAGAGTACAAATTGACATTATGGTCTTGTGTTTTCCCCTTGAGGTCGGTTGCAGAGATAAATTGCGTCAAGAGAGAGTGGTTAGAAAGCATAAGATGTTGGAGGTGGGGTGTTTGGTCACTTGTTTCTCTGAGAATTTCCATAAATGCTTCTGTTGGCTCCAGGCTGACACCACCTCCATCGTGGCCTGGAAGTGAGTTCCACAGGATTCCAGTGGTGCTAGTGGCCATGTTTGTTTGGCTTTTGTGGGGAGACAGAACATCAAGTGTGTAATCTGATAGGCTGCTGCTCCTCTGCTGGTTTCCCTCTTTCATTCCTCTCTTTCTTTCTTTTGTTTGTGCAATCTCTCTATTCTCTCTCTATCTCAGTCACTAAATTATACAGAATTATCCCACTTGGCTCATTTTGGCCCCCAGAAAATCGGATGCCCCTCCACACAGACGCGCACATTAAATAAGTGACTTTTTTTTTGCCATAACAGTGGTTGTTCCCATTGTCCTTTTATGAAGTGGTTTGTTTTGTATATGTGTGTTATGTCAGCATTGTGTTTTGTCTGTGTCCAGTGAGTTTGTATCTTGGCTGATGGAAATTGGTGAGACAGGCAACCCAGAAGAAGGGGTTCACCTGGGTCAAGCTCTGCTGGAGAATGGCATCATCCACCATGGTTAGTTCTGATGATTTTCTCCTTTCTTTGCTGTTCCATATCTACTAAAGCCAAATATACCACAGTCTAATTTACTTTGTGCTGCATGGTGTGAAAATGCCTGCTATTACCTGACCTAAACTCTAGCCAGCTCCAGTGAATGTTCCTCATGCAACAAGAAGACTTTCACAATACTGCCAGTCCCTGGAGCCAGTGTAGGTGCAGCTGCTTTATTTTTGTCTTAACAGCTGTCCCATTTCAACAGCCCCCCCAGACACAATGTTTAGTTAGGGGATTATGGTATACTGTAAATATTAATATCTTTCTGTAATGTTTGTGTAATGTTTGCTCTGTGGCTGTACTGTGGCTTCAGGTAAGAAGTGTGTTTAGTACATGAGGCTTACTGTAAGGTGGCTAATGCTTTGTATTCACATTAAATGGTACATACTGCTCTGCACGTATTTTCTCCTCATAGGAGTAGGGCCCTAAGCCAAGCTGTATGTTTAGTCACTGGGGGGTGCTTTATTGCTTCCTTACAAAGAAATGAGATGGGGCTTTGGAGCTTTTCCTGACAAAGAGGAATAACTCCGAGGCTCTCTGAACTCTCTCACACTGCAGTAAGTCTCTGAGTGTGAGAACGATAGAATGTCTTTGCATAAAACCTTTAATGGGACCCACACTGCTGCCACCAAGGATACAGAGCCAACTGTTATTGAAGGGTCTTTGACAAAGTACCCTAAAGTAAGAGGGAGAGGAAGCTGTGACCACTCTGTGCAAAGTCTACTTCTTGTCTAGAAATCTTGTTTCTACACACAACCCTGTTTGGCTTGTTTTTACACCTCTTATACCTCAAATTTGAAACAACTTGAATAACCTTTCCTGAACTTTTTTTTTTTTTTTTTTTTTACTTGCTGCTTCTTCCATTCTGGCACATCTCCCACAGAAACATCTTCATGTTTTGAATTGCATTTTTAGTTACAGACAAACACCAGTTCAAACCTGAGCCTGTACTGTACCGCTTTCGCTCTGACGATGGCACCTACCATCCAAGAAGTGACATGCACGATGTCATATCAAAGGTAATCATAGTACAGCAGAGTCTAGTTTAATTAAAGTCGCATTTTATATATCTCTAAAATAACTGAGATTTCCTCTCATTCTTCTTAGGGTGTTCGACTCTATTGCCGCCTTCACAGCCTTTTCACTCCCGTTATCAGGTAAACAGCCATTTTCTCTTCCACTCCATTGCAACCCAGCCAGGTGGAGCTCCAGTGGCTCAGCATCTGGCTTGTGCTCCTAAAAATAACTCTGCTGCAAAGTTACTAGAATGGAGGATAGAAATATTATGATGAACTGTGAGCTTATTGTTTTTAAGGAGCAACTGAATTAGGACAAAACGGCATAGGTGGTGAAGAGTCAGTGGGTGACTGAGCTGGCGGGTTTTATTTGCTGGGTCTCAAAACATGGATGTGATGAAGAAGGTTGAATTTATCAGCTGTAACACTAGTGTTGGTAAATGTGGGACACAGAAAGGTGGCTAGCAAAAAGGTACAGCTAGCAAGGTTGTCATAAGTGTGTTTTTGTGTGTGTGTGCGCCTGTCAGCATTTAGTCCACTGGTATTCTGCGTCATTAGCCAGTGTGCATGCTGCAGTGCATTCTCACTGCAAACACAGGGCCTGGGAATGCTTGAGTTTCATTGGAGCAACAAACCCCTGCCTAATTAGGTGTAATTTTCTGGTAGAGCAATGAGGCAAAGGGGGGAAAGCATATGCTTTCCTGCTCTTGCACCTCTCCACACTTCTGTGCTCCCCTTTAAGTCCTAGTTTTCCTTGCAAGAAGCCTGTGAATCCATCTGCTCCAGGGGACCTGACTGTGCAGTTTGAAATGTTCACTGTAGGGTAGCAGAATATACAAACAGTCTGCAAACCCACAAAGTACAGAAACGGTCATTCCTAAATTAACTTAATATGGAAAATACAACATATGCCTACGTTCTCTATGTATCCCTCACAAAATGTCAAGGCAAACTTTTTGGACAAGTTAAGAACCATCTCGCTGACCTTTTCCTCTGTTAGTCATCAATCTGCTGTTTCCTCATGCTGGACATATGGCTGCTCACTGTTTATCCCCTATTTTACACTCTGACAGGCTCATTGTGCACCAGCCACTGGAGCCCTAGTCTGCCTTGCTATGGAGTCCCACTCAGGAAAAAAACAAGGTGTCTCCTGCCTTTTCTGGTCCAAGCGACTTATAAAAGGCAACATGCCTAACTGACTAATACCAACACAGGCTCACAAATACAATTACACAACAGAATGTTCCAGTGTGAAGAAAACAGGGCAACAGTCGGTCTCTCAATCTGCACTTTCTGAAGAGCCCCAGACAGCTGAGCTTGGACTACAAGTTGGCCCACCTGTCATGTTTGACTTGTCTGAACTGTGTGTGTGTGTCTCAGTGAGTGTTTGCATGTGATGGAAGCGGTGAAGTGGTGCAAGTCACAGTGGTTCTGGATTTTCCCACCCTGTAGCTTGGCCCCTGTGTCTCCCTGGGGAGGCCCCTGTGTTCATGGGAAAGTCATGAATGCATTTCAGACGGCATTCTTGGGGTCTAGTAGAGTGCAACTACAATATGTGGCTAACCCTGAGTACAGCGACAACAGACTGACATAGGGCAGCCCTAGGTCAAACACTGCTGGGGCTGTTACCAGCTCTGCTTGGTGCAGGACTGTTTTTCTTGTCACAACTGTCAGAAACTCACTTGGATTTATGATGCTTGAAAAGCAGCTGCTAAATCCTCTTGTTTTTAAATAGCCCAAGAAATTACTACTCTACATGCTCACCATCTGGGTTTATTACAGTTAGAAAATCACAGAGTTGATCACAGTTCATGTTTAAATTAGTTTCATTATCCCTTCTCATGACGTTTTCTGCTTTTATACCCATCTAGGGATAAAGACTACCACTTGCGGACCTACAAATCAGTGGTGATGGCCAATAAGCTGATAGACTGGCTTATTGCACAGGTAAGCCATAAAACTGTTTCATCCACTGGAACAGATGAGCAGTATAATCATATCAACTTTCAGTGGAACTGTATGGTTATAATTATTCCAAGGAAATAAAAAAAAAGTCATTTCAAACACATCAGTTTGATTTTCATGTGTAGTTTTTCATACATTTACTTCATTGTAATAAAGATCAATGATGATGATGATGACACTTTATTACAAACTCAAGGTCCAGGTTCAAAACAAATAAAAGCAATAAAAACAGTTTAAAAACGAAACAATAAAAACAGAAAATACATAAAAACGAGAGCACAAGAACACCCATAAAACTACTGCCCCTTTAAAAGACAGGTATACCAGTGTTTCCAGAGAACCAAAGTAAAACGCATGTCACTGTGTGCAACATTAGTCAACGATAAAATGATATGATTTTTTGAACCATTCAGACAAATAAATTTAAACATCAGGTTTCTTAAAACAGCGGAAAATGAACTAACTCAAAATGATACAAACAATTCACTTGCACTCATCCATCTAGGTTTTCTCAATAATATCCTTAGGGCGTCATTGTAAGCTACTGACAGTTTCCGAAGACTGCCCTTTTTATAATTACACCACAGATGAGCAGTGTACAAGGAAGTACAATACGCTTTAAACAAAGCCAGTTTCCTCCCCCCAAGCATGCACCAAATTTCCGGGCCAGTACCTTAGCTTGTACATACAACATACAGCACTGCCGATATATATCCCCGTCATCAGACAAACAATCATTAATGACATGACCCAAATACTTAACTTCACTGCACACAGTTAAAATATTATCAGATAACTTAAA